GCAGCAGCGGCACCACCACTGGTGCCTCCGCCAGCCAGACTTCCAGCCCCCCTTCGTCCGCCCCCGGTCAGAAGCTCTTCTCTGCCTACACTTACGCTGCTCTCGCCGTCGTCGGAGCCGCCTTTGCCATGTTCTAAGCGGATGTAACGACACATAAAGCGTCTGTATATGCTATTGTTATTTTATTGGGAGCTCGTATGTTGCTTGTCCCGTTGGGGATTCTTGGGAAGATTTATCTGTTTCGCATAGTCTGGGCTCAGGATACACCGTGTTTTTGGGGGAATATAGATTTAATTTTCGCGCTAGGCGCATCAAACTATAAATCGGATCTTATACCATTTCCTTTGCACAAGTATGCTTAGTTGATATTGAAACACGTGGAATCCATGACAGACTTGAAGACACCAGCAATTAACATTCCATTACCTGCGTATCTATATCTGAGTCCTCAGCTTTGCCTAGAATCATGCGACTGGCAGACGAAGACGCGGTTCCCATATGCCGGCCCACTGACGCTAAGATGGACGAGTAGCCCTAGCGGGCGGGTGAGACATTCCAGGCCCCATACGGGGAGGGGCTTTGGGGACTTTGGTGGAATTTGGTGGCTTTTGGGGGGAAACTCTTCTCCAAATTCATCCTGCGAGGCACTGAGTTTGCCATTAATAGGCCGCCGTAGGGCCCAGACTCCACTGCACCGCCCCGAAAATAGCGTCCGGTGCTCTGTCACACAAGATTGGAGGGTTGATGTGCAGTCTGACGCGCGGACCATTTAGACCGTTACTAAACGTGAACTCTTTAAACAATGATCCATCGCCCTCTCGCACGTAGGTATTATCTATAATTTAGCATTTGCAGTCCTTACCGCAGAGCTTGTCTTTTTCCTAATCCGGGCGGGCAGTGTCGCTTCAGGCAAGACCCGTCATCGCCTCCAGCGGGGAACCAGACAGCGTGTGCAGTTCATAAGGCGTAGGACTGCTGGTCGCCTCATCATTCCGCGTTCGTCCATATGCACACTTCCCCGTCCACCTAGAGACCTTTTGGCATCATGGCCGACACAGAAGAGCCCCAGTTCCATTCCCTCAAAGACAGGATAGCGGCGCTGAACAAACAGCAAAACTTCAAGCCTGCTGAGCCTGTCCGCAAGCCCTCAGCCCCAGCAGTCCCCGGGCGGCCTTCGCCCACGCCCACGAATGGCTCATCGCCTGTTCCCCCTCCCAGGCCCGTGAGGTCTACCACGGCGCCGCCTCCATTGCCGCGCCGGGACACTGGGACGAGCCAGGATGCTGCTCCTCAAGAGGCACGCAAGGGGCCGCCGCCGCTGCCTCGTCGTGATACTGAGACGAGCCAGGCCTCCCAGGGCACACCGGTCGTGCCACACCGTCCGGTCATTTCCTCTAGGAAATCAACACAGCATCTGAAGGAGCGTCGTGACTCGACTTCTTCCGAACTATCAATCAGGTCGACTGGATCAACTGTGTCACAGGCACAGACGGTTTCGTCAGTGACGAGCCATGGGTCTGTGGGCCGCAGACTGCCTCCTCCGTTGAACGAGACGAAGCTGCCACCATTGCCGCCTTCGAGACGAGAACTCGAGGCCCAGGCCCAGGCTGCGAAGTCGGCCAAACCGAGACCTGTCGCACCCACAACGGTTCCCAAGGTGCCCACCGCCCAGCGCGTTGGAGGCGTGGCTACTGCAGTAAGCCCTGCACCTGCCAAGCCTTCGTTGCCTCCTAGGCTGCCATCCAGGCCTGCGAAATCACCTGGTATAGTTGAAGAGACGGAAACCGCTGAAGAGGTGCTGCAACCACAGCGGCCACACGTCGCGCTCAGGTCGAACACCTTTATGGGTTTTGGAGACTCGGCTGGAAAGCAGCCGCCAAAGAAAAGTAATGGTCCCATCACCGGGTTTTCGAGTGGCAAGAGAGGGGCTCTGCCGTCCCCAGGCGAACGAGGGGCTGGCGATCTCGAATCACCCCCCATCCCGCAGAGGCCTAGAGCGGATGAGCCGCCTCCAGTTCCTGTTGCTTCTCGCCCCTCACTGGCCCAGATTGAGGCTGTAAAGGCCCGTGGCACGGCTACAGGTAGCGTAACAGCGAACTGCTTCCGGTGTCGAGACTGGAGCAGGCCTGATCAAATCGCCTCCCTATTTCCCGTGGCCACACTTCCTAGGAAAGATCCTGTTGGATATCTTGCCCGAAGCCTGTGTGAGCCGTTCCCCTCCTACACCGATAAGGCTCGTGCCATTTTCACGTGGTTCCATCACAATATTGCGTATGATACTGCCGCATTCTTTGGGAACAAGTTGAAGAAAAGGTCGCCCGAGGACACCATCTTCAGCGGGCTGGCCGTGTGCGAGGGCTACGCGGTAGTCTATGCCGCGATTGCAAAGAAAGCAGGCCTGCAGTGCGAGGTCGTGACGGGACATGGCAAGGGATTTGGCTACACACCCCTTAAACCTGGGGAGCGCCCGCCCCCTGCCAAGGCAGACGGGCACGCCTGGAATGCCGTCAGGATCGACGGTGGTAGTTGGAAGCTCCTCGATGCCTGTTGGGGAGCCGGGCACGTTGATGGCGCTACCCAGTCATATACCAAACACTTCTCACCCTGCCACTTTGAGAGGGACAACGATGTGTTTGCAGAGACACATTTCCCCAAGGAATCCAGGTGTCAGTATCGAGATGATGGCCGTGTGCAGGGCTGGGATGAGTATTATGTCGGACCCTTTGGGGGCAACGGACCGACCTTTTTCAGCGCCGACATGGACCTGGACCAGAGAACCGTCGCACCACGGCAGAGGGGCATCCCAGTCCATAGCGGCGAGCTTTTGAGATTCCAATTTTCCAGGATATGTGAGCACGCCAAGGACCGGAAGGATAAGTCAGTCGTGTACATTCTATGCGTCCGCGATGATTTGGTGCCGTTTGAGACGGATGGGTACTGGTACTGGCTTGATGTACACGCAAAGGATCTTGGCGACCCCGGGCAAACGCTCCGGCTGGGATTCATTACTAGCATGGAGGGAAAAGAGGTGCAAGGTCTCACGAAGGAGGAATTCCTCGAGAAGAAGGGCAAGGTTGAACTCGCATACGGGTTTGCAGGCCAGTGGGATTTGGTGTAGACGAAGTCGTAAAATGTTTCCTTTTTGGTAGTCCACGGCGATGGACAATGGGTAATGAATGAATGGGAGTTCTCTTCTTTTTTCTTGGTATATATACGAATATGTGCCCTGCATGCTATCTAAGTGAGAAAGTAATTTTACTAATACACTGTGGTTCTTTTGCTCTTGGATATCTACATAGTTTCGTCTTTTCTTGCTCGTACCTGAAGAGGGCCACATTCTGGGTGATTGTGGGCGGCAGCGGAGCAGCTTGTGTTGGACTGCCGTCGGGCGGGATCTCTACAATGGCGTTTGCCTTTTCGCCTATTTTGCACCTCTTGGACTGGCCATGAGTCAATGCAACGGTTTACTGGAGAGCTCGTCCGACGCGAGGATGGCGATGCGATTGGGGGGGTGGCATTGGAAGGGGCGCGGAGTGAGATCATGGGGGGAACGTGACCTCGGAAACTAAGATGCGAGGCCGAATCCTATTTGCAACAGTAGCATTCTAGAAGCCGGTCCTGGTGATCCGGTGCTTGTAATCTGCAGGTCTGGGTGGGCACCTTGTTTTGCGCTACTACACAAAGCCGCCGAGATTGGACTCTGACATGATGCCCTATCGAGGCGCAAATAACAGACGAGACAGGCTATGATTTACATTGTTGCGGTGGTAGTGGCCGTGCTACGACGAACACCGGGCTCAGACACGACTCTCTTATCAGAGGGTTGGGCGCGCGTCCCGCCGGTGTGCCACGTTCTATGCCACCCACCTGGTGCATCCATGGCATGGCATGGCATCATGTCATGGCTGGTACGACTCGAGGCTGCTGGACGTGTACCTCAGGTATGTCTACATATTCGCCGTAGTATCCATCAATCATCGGGTCCGTCGTGAGTCATTGCACACTTGCATCCTCGAGGTGGGAAAAGAAAGCAATCTGGCCCGGGAGGTTCATTCACCCTGTTCTGCTCCGGTGTCTCGGATTGTTGCGGTGCTGTTGAGGCCGCCGACCGGCGGCCTCTTGTAAGCGAAGTATCACTACATTACCTACTCTGCAGGCGGGTTCAGGGACTCGGGCGGCCGTTGTGCGTTTGTTTTCTCACTGCCCTGGGGTGGTGTGGTTCGCCCTCCACAGGCACTAAGCTGGCGGAGGTTGTACCTAAGACATGGGGTAGTATCCATGATTTATGGTTTCCATCTGGGACCCTGCAGGCGCCCCTCTCCCCCTCTCAACTCTCACCTCTGCCTGCGACTCGCTGCGGTGCAGTGCAGCCTGGGCGGGCCCTTGTAGAGGCAGGCTGACAGGCGGGAAATCCTCGTCGCCGCCAACGGCCGTTGCGCCAAGTCGCAATACCTGTTTCCTGGCTGCGGCTTGGATGAATGCTGCTCTGGTTTATGTACCTACTGCATCTGGGTACTATCTCTCTATGTTTTTTTTTTAGTGGGCGGGAAAAAAAGTTCCAAGTTTCATCTCTCTTCTTCGCTTCAATCGTCTCTACGCATCTTGAACTCGAATCCAGCATATCTGCATTGTCACCGCCCTCTTCTCGCATCGTGCCCATCGTCATCTGCTTCCTTGGCTAGTGCGCCCCGGCCTTGGGTGTGGGTGCGCGAATCCGAGTGTGTGTGCTGCGGAGTTCTCATATGCCAAGAGACCCAAGACTCCAATACCTCTCAAAACGCGCGTTGTGAGTGATATAATAAGTTATATGCCGGAGCTCTCCCCCTCCGCACCGTTCGCTCCACATATCCTTTTCATTCCCCAAGCGAAATTGGCTGCTGTTTTGAGGGGAACGAGCCGAATATACTGGCTGGCTGAATCCGTACCATTGCACTTCGTTGCTGCGTCTGCTGCCGCGTCTCGATTGATCCCGCTCCCTGGTGTTTTCCCTCTATCTTCTCATGGCTTCGCCCAGCAGCCAGGCCACAACCACACCCCAGAAACAACAGGATCCCTCTCTTGTCGATCTCACGGCAAGCGTCGGCAATGAGGAGCGGCCCATCCCCGCCGACGACTCTCAGGCGTGGGAGCGTATCGACCAGGAGAAAGCCCGCCGGGTGGCTGTTGCAGACTTGAATCGCAAGAACAAACAGGTCGGTGGTAGTCCCTACAGACTAGCGATTGATACTTTGCAGTACCTGCCTGCCGCCTCCCTGCACGGCTGGCGGTTGGTACTGCTGAGTACTTTCGGCTACTTCCCCAGATATCCCCAGATTCCATCCTCACTTCACCATTCACTCATCAAGCTGTTTTGCCTCCCGTTCTCCATCCACCTCTTGTTTTATTTCCTTTTCCTTCCTAGTATCTTACTCATTTTTGATCTCGTCAAACACCATACTCTGCATCGAGCTAACATCCCATACGCCCTTCTGTAGACTTACCGAGGTCTCTCCCTCCTATGGCTGGTGTTCCAGAGCGTCGGTGTCGTCTATGGCGACATTGGCACAAGTCCGCTCTACGTTTACAGCTCAACATTCTCAGCGCACCCAAGCAGAGAGGATGTTATCGGCGCGCTCTCTATTATTATTTGGTCTCTCACCCTCATAGTCAGTATCAAATACTGCCTCATCGTCTTATTCGCCGACGATGATGGCCACGGCGGCACCTTTGCCATGTACTCGCTCCTGGCACGTCATGCCAACATCTTGCGCCGAGATCCTAATTCATCAACCTTGCTTCGCCTGGAGAGGCACCACACCCGGGAGATGCCCAGTGTGGGGAGGACCGCCCGGAATTTCCTTGAGCGGTCCAACATTGCCAAAATCGCGCTCAAGATCATCGCCATTGTCGGCGTGTCCATGGTTATAGCTGACGGTATCCTCATGCCTGCTCAATCTGTCTTGGGCGCCATTCAGGGAGTGCGGGTTGTACGGCCCGACTTTACGACGAGTTCCATCGTGGGAATTTCGTGTGCCATCATCGTCCTCCTTTTCCTCATCCAATGGTTCGGAACAGCCAAACTGGGGTCCTGCTTCGCTCCCGTCGTCATCGTCTGGCTGCTATTCAATCTCTCTACCGGCATCTACAATCTGGTCCAGTACGATCATGGCGTTGCCAAGGCCTTTAGCCCACATTTTGCATTTACATATCTGGCTCGCAATGGGGAGGAGGGGTGGAAGTCATTGGGAGGCACCCTGCTCGCATTCACCGGTTCAGAGGCTTTGTTTGCGGATATTGGTGCTTTTGGCAGGACAGCAACCCAGATCTCGTGGTTTGGCCTGGCATACCCGTGCTTGCTGATAACCTACCTCGGCCAGGCTGCTGTCCTTGCCGCTGACGATGAGAATGGCATAGCATACACGAACCCCTTTTTCTACTCGGTGCCCCCGGGGACCTTTTACTTCAGCTTGGTCATTGCAATCTTGACCGCCATAGTTGCAAGCCAGGCCTTGATCACGAGTTCCTTCCAGCTGATATCCCAACTCATGAGGCTCAGCTACTTCCCCCACATCAAGATGGTCCATACCAGCCACAAATTCCACTACCAGATCTACATCCCCTTTGCGAATTTCCTCCTGCTGATCGGCACTATCATTGTCACTGCGGTTTACAATAACGTATGCCTCGCTCTCCTACCATCCGTCATGCCCTGTGTGTGTGCTTGTACTGACTGTTTTTCTTCTAGACTACGAGCCTGGGTCATGCGTACGGCGTTTGTGTCATCATCGTCTCTTTCATCACCACATGCATGGCTGCTTTGGTCGCATTGATCATCTGGCGCATTCCATCCTACGTCGTGATTCCCGTCTTCCTCATCTTCATCGCCCTGGACGGCGCGTACTTGACAGCAGCCTTGCAGAAGGTGGCCGCAGGAGGATGGTTTACCCTCGTCCTGGCGTTCCTTCTCTCGCTTATATTCGCTCTGTGGAGATGGGGCAAGGAGAAACAATGGGCGGCCGAAGCGATGGACCGAATCATCCCAGCAGAAATCCTCGATCTATCAGCGCATGGGACAGCCCGCCAGAGCCAGTCGTCGTCGTTACATGGCAAGATCAAATTCTCAACATCGTTTGGCGGCGGTGAGCTGTTCCAGACTCCCGGGATTGCCATCTTCTTCGACAAAGTCGGCACAGTTGGCGACAAGGTTCCCCGGGTCTTTACGCAATACCTGAGGAGATTCAAGTCTCGACCCCAAGTTGTTGTCCTGTTCCACCTGCGGCCCCTGACGCAGCCCGTGGTTCCGGACGAAGAGAAATTCATCATCACCCGATTCAATTCGCAAATGTCGTCGTGCTACCGCGTAACCTTGCGGCACGGTTATGCCGAGGATATGTTGACCTCGGATCTGAAACCTAGAATCGTGATGGAGCTGATACTGTTCCTCACGAGGGGCGCGCCCGACGCTTCGCCGGCAGACGTGGCTCCGAGCGTGCAGAAGGAGCTGCAGACATTGAACCAGGCGCAGGGCGCACAGGTGTTGTATGTCATGGGCAAGGAGATGATGCAGATTAGAAAAAGCAGCAAGAAGAATCCTTTTAGATGGGCTGCGCTGGAGACGTTTCTTTGGATTCGGGAGAATTCGAGGCGGAAACTCTCTGATATGAACATCGACCACGACAGTCTGATCGAGGTAGGGTTTGTGAAGGATATATAGTTCCTTTTTGGGTCAAGCACTGGTTTCCTCTGACACAAGTCCTCGGATGGTGTCTATAATAAAAGTGTTTACGAGATGATGATGGCTGCGGCCGCTATGCCATAGAAGCATGCCTACAATAGAGACAAAGAAAGAATGAATGATATACATACATACATTACTCATACAACGACATGTAGTCGAGGAAGGGTTCAGAGAGCTAGCTGTGATTCACTTATGCATATATCGGCGCCACGTTCCAGGTTCATTCCAGCGCATTACGTATGGCGTCGCGTTTTATCCGGCCGGGCGATCTCCCCCCGAACTGCCACGTGCACGATAACGAGTTTCAACGGCAGCTATCGGCCAGGCCTTTTTCACTAAAGTCAAATCTGTTCTCAGATTCGCGTCACCTTCCACATTGCCTCTCTGGAAGCTCCACAGCCATGTTTGATCGCACACTGATGACAGCTCACCCCCAACCCCGACCTCTGTGCGCCTGTGCAACCTCCCCTCGGCCCTCCAAACATTCGCATTGAGCTCCATGATGCTTCGATTGGACCTCGTAACTCTCATCCTCGCCTCACCCGCCAGGCGCTAGCCTGACCGCCGACGTCATTCGTTTTCCTGAGCAACCCTCCCTCCCCGAAACCAAAACTCCGCCTTGTCCCTCGAGAAAGTCCCCCCCTCCCCCGAGAAAACCAAGAGACGACCCCCTCGAGCTTCGGAGCTACCGCTTTCGCCATGACGAGTGCCCCTTCCACCTCGCTCACCCGCAATGAGGTGCTCACCCTCCTCACCCTCTCCGGGGCGTCCCTCGCCGTCATCGCGAACACGTTCGGCGAGCCCCTCATCGCCTCGCTCGCCCTCTCCGTCATGGCCTTCTCCCTCTGCTACGCCATGATCCGCTGGCTCGGCCCGACCTTTGTCAAGGCGGGCTTCAGCGGCGCCGACATGAGCAAGTCGTCGCGGCCGACCCTCCCCGAGTGCATGGGCGCCGTCTGCGCCTGCGTGTACCTCCTGACCGTCATCATCTTCATTCCCTTCCCATTTTATAAGGATATTGTGGCGGCGACGAGCGGTGGCGGGAACCGAGATGTTGTGCTGCACATTGAGCATGTGAACCAGGGCCGGTTCCTGCACAAATTCCCCCATAACAAGGTAAGGGAGCACAACTGGAACCAGAGCTATCCCTCATGCGCCAAGGGACAGGAACATGAGAGACGCCGACTTCATCACATAGCTATTATTCCTTCTCTCCTGCTGACTACTAGACACATAGCTTGCTTCGTACCTGGGAGCCATCATCTCCCTCCAGACCATTGCGCTCCTCGGCATTGGCGATGACCTCTTCGACATCCGATGGCGACACAAGTGGTGGATCCCCGGCCTTGCCTCCGTCCCCATCCTGGTTGTCTACTTTGTCGACTTCGACGTCACGTCCATTGTGATCCCCGTGCAGCTGCAGCCGTATCTCGGCGAGCTCTTCGACCTCGGCGCGCTCTACTACGTCTACATGGCCTGCGTCGCCATGTTCTGCCCCCAGAGCATCAACATGCTGGCGGGCATCAACGGCATCGAGGTCTCCCAGTGCATCGTCATCGCCCTCCTCCTCGCCTTCAACGACTGCCTCTACCTCTTCACCCCGTACCCCCACCCCGCCACCGACTCCCACCTCTTCTCCCTCTACTTCCTCCTCCCCTGGATCGGCGTCTCCTTCGCCCTCGTCGCCTACAACTGGTACCCCGCCAAGGTCTTCGTCGGCGACACCTACTGCTACTTCTCCGGCATGGTCTTCGCCGTCGTCGGCATCCTCGGCCACTTCTCCAAGACCCTCGGCCTCCTCCTCGCCCCCCAGATCTTCAACTTCCTCTACTCGTGCCCCCAGGTCTTCGGCCTCATCCCCTGCCCCCGCCACCGCCTCCCCCGCTTCAACGCCCGCACCGGCCTCATGGAGCCCTCCGTCACCCCCTGGCCCGACGATCGCCAGCCCCACCCCCTCCTCGCCCGCGCCCTTCGCGTCCTCGCCGGACTCCGCCTCCTGAAGCTGACCGTCGACGACAAGGACGAGGGCGGCGGCGGCCGCATCACCGAGTCGAGCAACCTGACCATCCTGAACCTCTGGCTCGTCTGGCGCGGGCCCCTCCGCGAGGACCGCCTGGCCTGGGAGGTCACCGCCCTCCAGCTCGTCGTCGGCCTCTTCGGCCTCTTCGTGCGCCACAAGCTCGCCCTCCTCGTCTTTAAGGAAGACAACTGGGGGACCACGCAGCACTAATTGGGGAGGAGGGGGGCTGTCTTAGCATGCGAAGTCGGGTCCTGAATTAATACCCAGAGTAGACACAGAAAGGAGCTGGACGGCTTAGGACCCCCCGAAGCCCTTTCTTTAGATAGTAATCGAGAGCCTATAAATGCCAAAAAAAAGATTTTAATCTGTTACGAGTAGAAACACATGATGGTGGTTGCCTGAGAGTGGGATTCATGGACCCCCTTAATACATCCGCAAAACACTTTGCAGTTGAGACGCGAGGGGATAGACCCCCGAAGAAGGGATCTGAGAACCATTGTTGAAACTTCCGTAACACACAGCATGTGTTATTGACATTGAGCCTATCATAGCAAGATACAAGTACATGAGGCCATATCAGACAAGAGAAGAAACAAACGCCCCCATCCAGGCCCATCTTTTCGACGTTGCCATTGATCTCATCTTCGAACAAGCCATTATCGCGATCCAAAGCAGTGGCCCAGAAACAGATTTACGGAGAAACATTTGCAGGAAAAACAATCCCATTGCCAGGTCATTCCATATAAACACTGCCCGACCAGCGCCGACCGCTTTCCCCCCTCTTTCGTAAACGCCAAGTACCCAGTCAGTAATTTCCGTGTCCGACGTGCCAGTCGTTTTCATCCCTCTTTTGTCAACTCCATCACGAAGAGAATCGACATTTGCCCAATTCATAGCATGTTGCGCGAGTTTAGAACCACAAAACAAAAGAAATTCCCCTTTAATAATAAGCGTACACACATTCGAAACAACAATTATAAGTGACCGTTTGTCGCCTCTTTAGCTAAAGGGCTGGCCTCTTCGTCAGCCTGAACTAGCTGAGCATCAAGGCTGGCCATCTTGCCCTCCTCTGGACTTGGCAGCGTTGGTTTGACTATTGTAGGGCCACTGGACGCTTTGCTAGCTGCTTTGGATCTCTTGGTGTAATCACTCAGACTCAGCTTCTTTTTGGCTGGTGATGGTAACACAGCAACCCCATTGATCCCGGGCGGGCCAAATGGGTTGGACAGGCTGATTGCGGACAGCGGAGACTGGGCGATTGAACTTGTCGCTGACAGAGGCGTCGTGTTCTGGCCGGCTCCCGTGCTCCCGTGGCTGTCAAATGCGGGAACCGGTGGCATTTGGACTCGCAATTCTGGCGTCTTTGTCTTTGAGGGGACAATTGGGAGCACCTTTGAAGGAGTCGAAGTGGTTGCCGTGTCGATCATGAGAACATCCTTAGCACGGGGCATTAATGGAGAGACAGTTTCGTCGTTGGATCCAGTCGTTGGGCTTTTTGTTGATAAAGGCGATTCGATATCCATTACAGAGGCGGACGACGCTCGAGGAGTAAGAAGATGTTTTCTTGTTTGATCATCGTCACACTGCATCCTCTGTTTGCAATTCAGAAGTCGCCGAGCGAGTGGGATGATCTTCTTTTTCGGTCGCGGCGACGTTTTCGAATGATTGTACCATTCGCCCGGAACAGGATCTGTCTGGACACCGACATTGCAGTACGTTGGCCGCAGGCCCGCTGATGAAGGTCGGGATAGGTTCACCGAAGGGGGTCGGTTTGCAATGTAGTTCGATGAATTTGGGAAGTGGGGTGAATGAGCGGTTATCGGTGATCCCGACTTGCTTCTGCATGTGCCGGCATCAACATAGCTCCCATGAGATGTGGATCCAGCTCGTTTGGTTTTGGAGGAATTTGATACTGTTGTTCCATCTGACGTCCGCTTCTTTTTTCGAGGCGGTTGTTGTTGTTCCATCCTCCGAAAAGAATCTTCAACCATGGCCACTTTTCGTTTATCACGATCTGTGGGCTCAGTGAGGATCCCGAGTTGGTCGAATGACCCTTGCCGAAGGGGTGTGGGATCTCTGCTTGGTGGTTTACTGCGTGAGGATCCGGTTTGAGATCGGCCATCTTGATCAGGGCCGTTGTCGGGCTGACCTTCGCTGGCCGCACGGCTGTTAGTCGCATGCCCTGTACTGCTTGGTGACATGGCCTGTGCTCGAGGCTTGCGCTGTTTCTTTTTCGTTGACGAGCGGGATGAATTCTTGACATGCAAGTAATGCCGGTGAAAGCGAGCAAAGGCGCAGTCATTGTCCAGATCACAGGCACACCCGCCGTATTCAGAAAGAATACGATCGATCCAGTTGGATATCGCTGTATATTCTGTGTGGTCCATCTCTGGCTCCTCGCTGTTGGTGCTATCATCGTCGCTTAAACCAAGGAGGTGCATCCATCGAGGCCCAACGCTTTTCTCGAGTCGAAAGTCCCAGGGCAAAGTGATCTGTTCATTCGGAGCAATATGACGATCACTGACAAGCCAAAAGTGATATTCCGAACCACTGGATAGGTAGGTGTCCAGTTGTGCATTCGGTTTACAGCTTCGTCGTACATAACGAGCGAGGGATCCTTCCTTTCTCGTGTCGATGTAGAGCGGGAGCAGAGGATGGAAGAAAACAAATGGTAGGGGTGATGAGAGATCCATCCAGAGATTGTCAGGTTCGATGCAGTAGTCCTTTTGAAATCCAATCTCCCCATTCAATTCAGCAAGGAGAACGTCCTTCTCTATCGGTGTTGTGGATTTGAGGAAACGCCATCTTAGGGTAGTGTCTGCGTTAATAGCACGGGTCGCGTCCTCTACCTCAAGCGTTGGCCTTTTTGCCTCATCACCCGATGGCTCCTCTTGGAATACTTCTTGATGGGTTCGGCCAACTTCCTGCTTCAGGATATCGGGCTCGTGTAACCAGCGTGCGAGGGCAGTAGGAATTGCAAGGTTGACGAATTTATTGCTGTGCGATTCGGGAACGTTGTGCTCATTGTAGAGAGAATAGAAGCCTTCGGAGTAATGATGGATTTGAAAGTCGTCGGGAAGGTCGGGAGGGGTTGTGGCAGGGCTTGGAGGGTGGACAAGCGTGGATCGCGAATTTCCATATGAGGGGCTTCGCTTCGCCTGTTGTGAACTGATGGATTGGGAGGATTTATGAGAGGTTTTTGTCTTCTTCGCGGTGGGTGGGTGTTCGCCTGCCGTGTTCATCTTTGGGTGTTCAGAAGGGACAGTGTGTCCATTAACCTGTGCTTCATTTGGTTTCGATCGCTTCTTGTGGCTCTTGGACGGCGGGCGCTTGGTCTTTTTCTCCGAGGGTCCTTCTAGGGTTGGACTTCGAAGTTGTAAAATTCGGTCGATGGCTCTTTGTGTGTCGAGCTGCCGCGGTTTGCACTCGGCGCACGAGTGTGCAAAGTCTTCGCGTGACACCTCCTCCCTGTTGTCGGGGTAGAAGCAATCAATATGTTGCCAGGTTTCGCACGTCTCGCAGAATATCGTACTCCCGTCATCGTCGGCGAAGTTGCAAATACACTTGATCGTGTATGGCTCTTCTTCCACAACTTCTCCCTTGTCAATCGCATTGTCCAAGGGCGCGGCTGCGACGATGGTCGACGCAGTTTGACTGGGATCGGGATATTGCGCGGACAGCGACGCTGGCCTGTCCGTCATAATCTGTTGGGACGCCACCACGTCTTGGACGTCGTACGGTTGGTGTGGATTGTTTATCGACGCGGTATGGAGGGCATGACGACGCCTACGGAGATGCGCGCCAGTGAGATCGCAGGCAAGTGTAGCGGACGAGAGTACACACTGGAAGCGTCATGCGTCGTAGCGGACGGTACTCTCGGATGAATACTCGTTCAGTCGCGATCATACACAGCCAAGGGGGGAGGCGGGGGCCAAGTGGCAGCAGTCAGATCGTGGCTTCGAGTAGTTGGGGCGGACAGCGAGGGTATCGGCAGGATTGACTCGAAGGCAAGGGCCGTGGGCGATTGCAAAATCCAAATCCACGAGGGTTGACGCGTGTATTTAGTGGTGGAGGGTCGTTGTCGGGCAATCTGTGTTTTCGCAAAAATCGCTGAGATCTGTCGGGACGGTTCAATCGAGGATGGAGGGACCGGGTCGCCGTTTGGAGGAGCAAAAGGATGGGCGAAAAAGTTTCGGTGCAAGAAGGAAACAAAAGAAACAGACTGTTAGGACACCAGGGTAAGAATAGGTATAAATGAGGGAGACACTCGTAGGAGCGGACGAGAAGGAAGATTGGGAATGGGGAAAGAGGAGAGGAGGGATGGGGAAGAGCGAGCGACAAAGAAAGCTGTGAGCGAGCGAGAGCAGACCTGGGCTGGGCCACTGGCAGGGTGCATTGCAGCGACTCCCAGCGACTGTCAATGGGAGCAATGGGGCTGCAGCGCGCTGGACGCAGACAGGCTGCAGACGAGGACGGCAAGGTACGTACCTGTCCTCGATGGGTGAGTCTCATCTCACGGCAGGACATTGGCGCTAAGCCCAAAACTGAATGGCGGTGGCCGTGAAAATCTTAGCGCAACAGAGGGAAAAAACTTACTCGTTCAGCGCGGCTGCCTCAGGCACAAACGAGCAGAGTGCAGTGAGGCTGCATCGTCAACGCCATACGGGCGACGATGGCTCCCACTGAGTCGGAAGGCGGCTGGGGATGGCTGGGACGCTTGGTTGGCCATCTTAGTTAGGGTGCCGAGTGAGAACAAGAGTCGAGGAGGCTGGCTGCTATCGATGAGCCGGCGACGTGGGAAGCATAGGTGTCCGGTGCAAGTTCGAAGCTTGGTTGCCAGAGTGCGGGCGGTCACCGAAGATCTTGCGGAGGCATTGCATGCTGACAGGCAATGAATTGGTGTTTGTCGAGTCGGCTCAACTGGGTGATAACTGATAAGCCAAGGCAGACATCCCGGTTCAACAAGCACCGAATACGGCGCAGATGCTGTCAGATGGAACTAGGGGGCGGTTAATAAGAACAAACTGCGGATAGCAAAAAAAAAACCGCGCTTGACACGACCTACTACAAGTTCACTCGAGATGCGAGCGTATTATTACCCTTTGGTATTGTCTAGCTATTCGCGTGATAATGTTGATAGGGAAGGATGCATTTGGGTCATCGGGCGAGATGTGAAACGGAGGGTAGGGTCCACTCCCAACTAGTGTAAGTATTGGCCGATAACAATTGCTTGGGGTAATACATACACCACTTGCCTAGGTAGCATCTTATCCGTCCCGCCCATGGGTATGATTTTGCCCCAAATACCGGCAATCACAATGGTGGAGGCCAAGTTGGTACGACTGTAGGAAGGGAGGCAAGTGGGTGAGATACTGCGTGGCAGACCAAGACATCGATGTTGAATCTCGAGAAAGTATTAACAAAAATGCGCTAGTTGATATTATCGACCAAGGGAGACTACCTACCTAGGCCCGTAACTTCATGGTTTATTCCAGCCACTTGGCAGGATCCTGTGTGGCTGCTAGAGGCGGTAAAGCGTCTGGCCAAGGATAGACCACTACCTAACCGGTTGGGTTGGTCGCCCTCCAGGGATTATTAAACCGCCATTGCGTGGCTGCTACTCAGAATGATCTAAATCCAGAGGATGATTGCATAATATATCCCCATGTGATTTGGTTCCTCATTTCGCCGTTCGTCTCACCAAAGAATCATGGACATTAAACAGTATGGGTTTTGCGACCATGTTTTCGAGCACAAGACTGAGACGTAGCTAGCGTTCTGTAGAGTTTGCGGTAACGTCATTAGCTCGGGATGACCCCTGAGGGCGGAAGCCTCGCAACAATCTAATGTTCATGTGAACTGACCCTTGAGGCTTTGTTGGCTGGGCTTTAAGCTTTCTGTTATACGGGTGTTCGAGTTGAGCCTCCGGGGCGCTCAGTTCTGGGCCGCGACTTGAGTACAGAACCGGACTGCGGGCAAGATAAATGAAGGCCGTCCCAGCGCCTCTGTCTTTGAGGCCAGGTACCTGCTGCTTCCATGTATTGCTGGGGGTGTCGGCCGACACATTAGACGGGAGGCGATCCAGAAGGCGTCCTCGTCGGAGGAGAAAGCCCTGGTAGCATCGCCCGATAACGCAGATTCGCGGGCGCCACGTAGTTCTTGATATGCGATGTCATAGACTTTGGCGATGCGTTGACACGCCTAGTACTCGGGGCTCGATGGCATCTTGGGGAGGGGGAATCACCGATGAGCTTCCCCCACACTCTCACAATCCATGCCTGTGGCGACGGCCGGTGGCCGGTCAGGGAGGGGGCGGAATGTCGTAGCGCGCTGTGCACCAGATATGTAGCGCTGTGCGTGCTGTTTTGGTGGGGACACGGTCCCATGACGCATCCAACCAACCACCTGGGCCAAGCCACTCCCCTCTGCCTGCCTGAAGCGAGACCTGTCATAGGATCCTGTTCCCATCATCACTGTAGCCGAACCACGGAGATCCATATCGCAGCCCCAGTTCCAGGACTCAACTATAATAAGTAACACCATCCCCAACTGTGCGAAATCCTCAACCTCCCACTTGGACATTCTGCTCGATCGATCACGACTACCCGAAATGAAGTTCTCTGCCGCGTGGTGCCTCCCAGCCCTGCTGGCTCCTACACTGGCTGCCAGCATCGCCAACGGCAACGCTCCGCTTGTCACTAGGAACGATGACCTTGCCGTTCCAGGCGAGTCTCCCCTCGAGTTTTGCGATGGCGATCGTTCATCGCATCTTGTAATCATCAACAAAGTCGACCTGTCGCCCAACCCACCCGCAGCGTATGCATAACCCGCCTCCTCGAGAAGCATGGCGATAAACTAATCGGTCAATAGTGGACAGGACTTGGTGATCAAAGCCGAGGGCATCGTTAAAGAGAAGATTGAGGAGGGCGCCTATGTCTCCCTCGCTGTCAACTACGGACTTATTCGTCTCATCACAACAGACGCCGATCTCTGCGAACAAATTGGCAACGTCGACTTGGAGTGTCCTGTTGAGGCTGGCAAACTAGCCATCACCAAGACCGTCGAGCTGCCCGCCCAAATCCCACCTGTATGTCTTCCTCGCCGTCTTTATCTATAGTTCTCAATGCTAACCATGAGTTTCAGGGCACATACACTGTCGTTGCGGACGTTTTCACAGCCGACAAGAGGCGTATCACTTGCCTCAAAGCTAGCGTCACCTTCGGTCGTATTGGCTTCTTCAACAATGAACTCTAAGAGATAGGCCAGCCCAACCAACTTATCCATGCTTGTCCCCTTTCCCTTCTTCTTTCTATAATATTCGGAACGCATTGCAGGTAGATTGATTTAGTGCCCTGTCCTACCTTGAGTTTTGCATTTCTTGATGAGCGTAACTTCATCCCTTCGGTCGGCTTGCTTTTTTAGTTTTGGATTTTGGTAGTATTAGTTATGAGGCGACCCTTTGTGTAGTTTATTTCAAAGGGATACAATCGTCTAAACCAAATCAATAGACAGGAATAAGACCTCATGGCAAACCCACGCCCCAAAACCTGATTGATGATAACATGTGACAGACAGGCTCCCCAAGTCGCGCAGCACACGACTGTCAAGATATGTACTCCTAAAGAATAACCAAAGACGGCCCATTATTCTCCGAACAAGCGGCGCACTCGCCTCAGCACACTGTCTTTCTCTGGGTCGTAGGGGTGGTCTTTGCTAGGAATCTCCAGAACCGTTGGGAAGGCCGCGGTGTAAGTGTCCACTCGATGCCGTATTTTATCAGCAACCTGTGACCCAGTTAGCCCAGGAATCCCACTAAGCACTCTGAATCTATGCGACGCAGAGGAAGGGCTACCGACATGCTGGTTGATCAACACGATGCCAATGTCTTTTCGTTCGGTGAATCGGTCAAACGCAGATTCGATCGCAGCCGTCTCAGTCTTGTTGTCGACGATGAGGAAGTTCTTCTGTGCATCGGAGCCGGTTGTGACATGCTGGAAATTCTTAGTATATGTTCATGCTCGTCGAGCGGCGCCGCAATGCATCATACTCACCCCGATGCCAGCCAGAAGTAAGCCTGTTACCGAGTCCTGGTCTACGTCAGTGGAGAGTCCTGGTGCTAGCTGCGTGATTAGACGTGTGGAGGTATTGTGCTGCTCACCTCATCGCCAATCACAGCCAGGAATTGGCGATCTTTGAAATCAGCGTGGGAAGCCATCTCGGAGAAGTTGAAGACAACTTCAAGGATGGGGGAGAATGATGATAGGATAGGCTGCGCCCAAGCTGTTTCCACGTTGATGGAGGGAAGTGGATACCTGCGGTCTGCGCTCAGTGTATCACCATTGGGAGTGGCGGGTTAGCCTGCAGAGGCGGAGCTTTAGGCAGGTGGGTGGGTAGGTAGCAGATGGGTGACAGAAGAAATGAGACACCAAAACGGTGGACATGACGAGCACAGCACTATCTGCAATGACTAGAATAATATAACAGAAGAAAAAGATTATATGAGATAACATACAGTGTATACTCTAGTCATTTGATTATTGTTTGCGCGTAATTACCTTTGGAAATATTCCTGTCACAGTACCTAAATAGAGCAGGGCTTGAACTTTGGTGTATGGATTTCAGTGTCATTGGTTGGGAGGTGTGGATCAAGTCGCTATAGGAACCTACCTAAGCTCCTTGTTGTGAGCACAAGCAACTTTTCCCAAGTAAACACCACAAAGGTGTGTGCTCTACGTCACCACCAGCATTATCATTGAGAGCTCTACGTATTGTTCTAGCTGTCTTGTCACTCATTTGACTTCTTATTCTGTCACTTTTTCTTCTTCTCCTTCCACTCCTTTGATCCACCTACACAGCACACGTATTGTTGGCTTCGCATCATCGACGCCTACCAAGATGCCACGATTAGTTCGGCGCAAGCCGTTCATAGAACGAATGAAGGCGATGCTTAACCCCATGGACTTTCTGCTTTGGCTCTCGGAGGAAATGGAGACGAGAGACTGGGACTCTCAGCTTGTCGGTACACAAATGGGCCTGGCTCTGAATTTCGTGTTCCTGGTCGCTCGAGCAAACTCAGGGCCCAGCAGCTCTTCTGGAGACGACATCTTTGGCGATGACTCTGGTGGTAATTGGTTGAGATTCGTCGTAAGTTTCAAGAATGCGTAATCCTTTGGTTAAAGTCGCACGCTGACTGTTTTTTAAGGTCCATCCTCTGGTCTGGGGGTTGGTATTCTTTTCTTGCACTCACACATTCTATGCCCTGAATCGCACCCGCAAATACCGACTATTCCAAGCCGACGTCGATGTCAAGCCATCAACTCCATCAGTGCGGCGTGTGAAACTCCAGTCCGACATGGGCACATCATCTCCGCTAAGATATCTTATTGATATGGTTGCCCCCGAGTCGGCCGAATCCCGAGCGCATCCAGATAAGGCAAAGGACGTATGGGAACTGGCAGTTTGGGACCCTCTTCCTATCTCTGTCCGTCTCCTTTGCTTCTTCAGCCCTGGGCATGTCCTTGTGTACATCCTCTTCCTTCCACTTGCACCGCTCGACCCTCGTCCTAGCGTGACGGTCTTCAACGCGCTTCTTGTCCAAGTCGTCCTCTCCGTGCAGCTCCTTTTCCTTGTTTCGAGATTTACGCAACAAGGCCGAGACAATTCTATAATTCAGAAAGAAGTGATGAACGAGTACAACACCAAGTTCGTTCATCCTCGTATTCATCCCACCGTCAGAGAGGTAGGAGTGCAGGTATCAAGTGACAACACAAGTCATATCCGAGATGTCGTTCAAGTCGGAACACCCACAACTCTCGTTCAGAATTCATATTTCAGCCGACAAAGCGCACGTTCGAGTCCCGAGATACCTGAGAGTATCCGAAACAAAGTGAGGACTCCTCGCATGTCAACACCTCCATCCGCATTACGACACTCAGATGTACATACCCCCATCAGCGAAGCACGCACCCCACTGGCAAGGAAAAGTCTCCCTGCCGAATATATATCTACTGCTACTTCGACCTCTGCGTCAACTCCAGGCATCCCGGCCTCATCATCGACTGGGTTTGGCGGGAGTATGGGTATCCACACACATAACAAATCTCCTCTGAAAAAAGCAATCAGCATGGGCGATATGAATACCTCTGATATGCCTTCACCAAGGAACTCGAGAGAAATGGCATCATTTGAGCAGCGAAACCAAGCACTGCACCGCAGCCCGTCAAAGGGGTCCGACTTCCAGGGCTCTACGAGACCGAACCCCTTCGCTGTAGGAGCCCCAGGTTTTAGGAACCGACCCAAATACGATCGATATCCTTCCATACGATGAAGGAATCCATTGTGGTTTAGAGGGCCTTGATAGCCACCGTTATGTGGACTAGCTTCATGGGAGTTGTTGGAGGCGTTTTCATAGATTTACTCGAGGCAACTTGGCACATGCCATTTCGGCGCTGGTTCTGTTTCTGGATTGAACATGATTGTATACTTTTGGTTAATGTTTTGCGGCATCCAACCCACATACAGAATGCCATGATTAGGAAATTCATTTTTGGTTTCTACTCTATCATAATGCTCAAATTACCATCATGTTGGATCCTACACCAAAGTGGTCAGCACGTACTATTCACCGCCACACTATCGATTCAAGTTCTTATAATACGATGAAAGCAGACAAAATCGTCTAATATATATTAATTTGTCGGAGATAGTAGTGAGGCTGAAGCTAGCCGCGCGGCATGAATATATACCCCCCTCACTAATGTCGGCTCGCTCTTCTACAGGAGGCGTGGGTGCTCATCTTCCATATCGCTTCTTCTTGGGAGGTACCTTAGTTAGGAAGCATATAGGGCACGAGTAATGGTATCTTCAAATTGGTAAGTTTAATCTACCACGAGGTAGGAAGGTAGTGCTAAGGTACCTACCTACTTGCCTAAGGTAAGTAGGTATTCAGAACCTACCTACCTACCTACCTACCTAGTACCTACCTCAATACACTGCTAAGATATCCTTGGATGAGAAACAGACGGAAGGCAGGCTCGATTGGGCGTTGGTTCCTCAGGCACGACTAAGACCAGGTAACAGGTAGGGCAGGTTCAACCTGCGAGAAAGCAAGTCCTTTCTTTCCACAGCTGCTTCGTATCAGCGTGTGATTCCTTGCCCAGATCTCCAATTCATCTAAATGAGGAGGAGACTGACATTTCATCCTCTGCATTTTCGTCTCTGGCTGTTCTTCCAGTCTCAACTGGTAGTCAACAAGCTGAAGTGTTCACTTTATTCTTACTGTATTTCTGCCTGTCAGGCACCCAACACTTTGATACATTCCTTAGTACCTACGTAACTACTCACTTAGCTACCAATTCGACCCCATTTCTTCTTTTCTTTCTCAGAATGGCCCACCCATTGCCACCATCGGCCTCAGCACAGCCAATTCTTACTCGCCCTCCATCTTCCAAGCCTATCGATTCCTCTAAAAAAACTAGACAACGGCCAGGCGGGAAAAGGCAGAGTCAAAGAAGCCTGTCTCTTGGTGGATGGGTAAAAAACTTTCTTCCGAGCCATCGTCCTGAACGTGGAGGCACAATCAGAGACGGGGGGTACTGGGAACTAATGGATTCAAAACGCAACGACGGGCAGCAACCCGGGCTTCGTGCAGTCAGCGCCCATCGAAGCAGAAGAAGCCAAACTGGAGATTCTGATTTGCTGACCCGCTGGAATACGCCCAAAGACCTTCCTGCGCTTGAAAACAGCAGCGGAATGTTTCCTTCTCGCCCAGAAATATTTCCCCGGTCCAACAGAGCTTCTTCCTTCTCAGACAGAAAATGGAGCTGGATTCCAGAAGATATGCGTCGGGATACCTTGTCAATTACAAAATTTCGTGAAACAAAGGAAACTAATCAAGCACAATCGGATTCGGAACACGAATCGAAGCCCGGTTCCTGGGCGTCCTTGACTGCGGACAAACGTCTGTCTGACACTCGACGTGCCATTGAGGCCAAGAAAGAGATTAGGCGCCAGCGAAAAGATTTGAAGGAGAGCGGCGATTATCTTGGTGTCCAAGGCATCAATCCAGACACTGGCGTGCTCGACATAATATCCCCGACTGACAGCGAAAGAAGTGCGAGCCTACAAACAGATGGAAAAGTCAATACGCTCCAGCAGGTACTAAAGAATGCCCACGCCAAGTATAACGAGGCCCTTCATCCAAGTGGAGCGGATGATTTACAACCACGATCAAAAAACGGGAAAGAAAGGATTCAACTGGGCCGCCTCTACCCAAATGTGAAATGGCGAAGACACACCAAGCAGTGGTCATCGGCGCAAGAGCCAAATTTGAGCCCGGTTGCTCAATCTCTAAAGAGTGGCACACCAGTTTCAGGTATCGTATACAGTCTTCCATTGTACTATAACTCGTCTAACGCCGAGGTGAAAAAGATGTGGCGAATACGCTAGATCCAGCAACAGCAGGACAGTTAGTTGACCTAAATATTTCCGAGGGCGGTAGTTTGGGCGAGCAGGAGCTGAGCACACCTCAAACATCCGGTGAAACTTCAAAAACTTCTTTGACGGTGGTGCATACTCCCCATCGGCTAAGCCACGCAGCCATTTCTCCCGCTGCCGTGGAGCTATTCGAGAATGGTATAGAGTTCAATGGAGAGAGCTCCGTAGGTAAGGACAAAAGAGGCCACACGGGACCAGAACGAGGCGAGAAAACTCCGGATGGTTCTTTTTTAGGTCGACAAACCCTGGGAACTCCCGGATCCCAGGGCAACACCAAAATAACCCCAACTCGCTCAATCAAAGACATTTCGAGCCTGAAGTCCCTGATTGCGACGCTCGACTCACAGCTGCTGAACCAGAAGGAAAGTCTTCTTCTAGAAGCTGCTACCGCACCGAACACCCAGAGAACCGGGCACGAACTGTTAAAGAATTCCAGAAGCGCCGATATGATCGGGGAGAAGGGCCAAAGACAGACCAGAGAACGGGAGCTTCAGCTCACAGATCGAGGAAGCCCTCTTCAAAAATTATCAGCAAGAATAAAAGGCCGTCAAAGATCAAAGAAAAACCCTCTTGCCACTACCAGAGTATCCTCTCTGGATCATATGCTCAGGTCAGTGACGAATTTGAAGGAAGTAATGCCAGCGACGGAAGCCTCTTCGACGAAAGACCTCTTGCACGCGGAGGATTTTGCCCAGTTAGAGATGAAAGTTGTCACCACGAAGACCCCGGATTCCAAAGAGATAACCGAAACGGCTGCCAGCGACTTGAACGGTCAGGTCGGCGAAGTAGACAAGGGCACGCAAAGCGAGTGGAAAATGCCGGCGGAGGACTCAGTGAAAGATCAGGGGTGGAACAATTGGGCCCAAGACGTAGTTCAAAGAATGGTCGAGAGGAGCGAAGGGGTCAAGGACGACCCTGCATCCACATGCATCACCACCACTACTGGCTCAGGCCAGACGACGTCTCCATCGAGCCAAGAGCGAGAGCCCCGGACCAAGAAAAGGAAGTCTGTTCCCTCGAGCCAGAGCTTCAGCAAATCAATACCGACCAATATAACTGCCGGTGGGAAAGAATACCAAATGAATCATGCACTGAGTACCTCGCTGAGCTGCAAACTAGATCAAGAAATCGATACTATGTCGACTGCAACCACCAAGCAGAAATTGTCAGAAACCGCCCAGACAGACTTAGTCCCGACACCAGAGTGCCAGCCTGCGTGCAGCATATCACCAATGTCTATATTGGACATGGATCGACAAAAAACGAACTTGACAGCAAAAGCACCTGGGTTGGAAGCAACTGCAATATCAGTACAAGAGAAGTGCATGACCCATCAAAGGGAACTGGCCCAGCCACAGGAGAGCACTGTTCAGGGTCCGATTGCGAAAATGCAAGTCGGACAGCTACTGGAGCCGGCGGAGCAGTTAACCCTCCATATCGAGGAGAGCTTGGGGAAGTTAATGATGAGCTACCCAGGGTCGTATCCTCACCATCCAGACGCCAACGACGACATCGCCAATCTTTTGAGTAGTCTAATGAAAGACGTGGGATCGTGTGACCTACCCACATTTGATCTTCGACCACGCGAGAAAGGAGTATTGGCGATTTGTAAAGATGGCTTCCAAACGTTGCAGTCAGTGCTACAAGAATACTTCCGACTGTTCTTGGTCCCTTGTATTCTTCCCGGCCCGGGACCGCATAGGAGAGCGGAGGATCCCAGCACGATTCTTAATACTGTTACAATTTTGTTCTTGACTTTCCCCGGAGCCTGTCTTGCCGCATGGGCCTTTTCATAGGGAGTCAAAGTCACTGTGGCTGCTATACGCACTGTTCTTACAAATTTGTTCTCCGAAGAGTGAAGGTCGAATGTCATGAGTTATCCACTGAACGGAGCTTTTGGAGTTTGACAAGCAATAGGTTGAAGCGGCGATGAGTCAACATTTCTTGATCTCTGTTGTGGGAAATATGATGCGAGCAATGGTGTTGCCAATGGGTCAAGCGGGTTTGCATAATAAGCCAAGCCTGATGATGAACTTGAACTCATGGCCCCGTCGGTCCTACATAATTAGATGATGGTTTCAATAAAATTCTTATCAAAACTATCTAAGTATTCCAGCATGAACGACAAACCCTGCACTCGTTCTAAGTCTCTCGGGAAGAGTGTCATCAGGAAACCTCCAGACGCGAAAGTATTTGTGGAATTCAGCTAACCAACTGTCAAAGACCTCGTCGCTGCGAAGCTGCTGTGCAACGACGCAGACACAGGGTTTATCAGGATCCAGGGAATCCTCCTTGCTTTGCCTGAGTTTGCAAGCTTCCACACAAGTCTGCACCAGCGGAGGAACCAGGGCGTAGTTGTAAACACAATCACAAGCGAGGACAAGGTCAAAATCCCCCGATGGCCCCGGGGCGAGCTCGCTTGTCACCTGGTCAGTCTCCCAGTCAAGAGTGGCAAACTCGACAGAAGCCGATGAAGAGGAGGAGGAGGAGGCAGAGGCTTTCAGCTTGGGCGGTCGTCGCGCGGCGGGGCGTCCCCGTGTGTGCTCTCGTTTACCGTGGTTCTCCGAGATGTTTCTCGAGACGAGGCGCTGCACGTAGGGCTGGTCGGTTAGAAGGATGTGGGAGATGTGAGGCGCGAGGGCCAGCCCGTTGAGCGGGGATATCCCGCAGCCGAGCTCGAGGACGGAGGAGGACGGGGAGAGGATCCCCGAGGAGAAGAGCGGGTTGGATGGGGATGAGATGAAGGATGCGAAGATGGGGTTGATCTTCCAGAGGACTATCGAGACAACGGGGGGTCAGAACAAGCCAACGGCGCCGACACTATGCCGGGCGCAGCTTGAGATTTGTTCATCTCATTGGCCGTTTCACTGTGCGGGGATGGGGGCTTCAACTCACCAGCACCCGTGGTCCCGCCAGCCCGGCTGGAGGAGAGGACGGTTGGTGATTGATGGATGGTGTACTCCCTATCGTGCACGACAACCTCGACGGACGGGGCTGTGGGATCTATGAAGCCCAGGTTTTGGGACGGTATTTCCTGTGAGAAAAGCAGGAACGTCTCTATACAACGGTGTGAGAATTGTGCTGCCGTTTCATTCGCATCAAATCCAATCTAACACCCACCTTCTTCTGGATCTTCAATCTCATCCCCAAGTTTCGATGTTAAAGCTTCGACGGCCATCAGGCCCTGTGCGGTCCACCGCGTCTGAAATGCGTAGTGATGAGAATCGAAACGTATTGATGCAACCGTATCATTTAATAATATCGGGCGAAGGATAAGAAGCAGATAGTCGCTTCGTTATTGTGAGTAGAATAACATTAAAGAAGTTGTTACAGAATGTAGCAGTTGATGTGAGCGAGGTGACTGAGGCTCCACCAGCAAAACTGACAGGCGGCAGACTAGAGACTGCAACGCCTACACGGATCCGTCGATAAATATATGTATCCATCCACCTTCATGAAATCCGATAACCAGCGACTACGTGTGCTACGGTGACAGTGGACCCCGCCAAAAGGTTTACTTCACTATGAGGAGTGAGTTGGCTTTGATAGAATATCTGGTCAATTAATACCTCTTGCAAGGCTGACTTTTGCAATGCCCAAAGTTATCGAAAAATGCACGCACGCCTCATATTCTCACTTCCGAGTACCAAATCCCATACAGAAGAAGAGCCCAATTCAACCGCAACAATGACAAGAACGCGTGGTGACACAGCCGCAGTCTTTACTACGATCTTCCCTCAACCCCTGCCATGTCCCAGATCATAAGACGACATCAAGCCTTCCCTTTGCTTCCAGCTTCGAATTGCTTACACTAAGCCATCGTACAAGGACAAAGCACAAACGATGGTTTCGTCGCGCTTACTTCCCTCCTTGAATTCCTCAGCGTCCAGGCTGCCATTTTCATCCTTGTCCATCATGGCAAAAATCTTTTTGACTCGCTTTTCTGGGGTGTCTTCATCCTCTGGCAATTTGACCATGGAACCGACCTGCGCCATCCGTTAGCAAACCTTCCAACAGAGGACTGGGATCTCTGGGATTGTACCATCTTGTAGATAGCCTCGACAATCTGAAGCATCTCATCATAACTGATTTTGCCATCACCGTCAATGTCGTACAGCTGGAACGCCCAGTCGAGCTTATCCTCTGTCTTGCCACGACTGGTTACACTCAACGCGCAAATAAATTCCTTGAAGTCGATGCTCCCAGAGCGATCGCTGTCAAATACATTGAAGACATATTCGGCAAATGCACTTGGATCGCCAAAAGGGAAGAATTGGCGGTAAATCTTTTGAAACTCTTCTTTGCTGAGCATTCCCGATGGGCAGTCCTTCAAGAAACCTACAAGGTGGAAGAGTCAGCATGTCTGTTCTTGCGAATTCGATCAAGTCCATATGTAGGCCACGCACCTTTATACCATTGCTGGAGTTCCTTCTTATCAAAATGGGTCGACTTTTGAAGCTCAGCAAGTTGATCTTGCGAGAGCTTGGACTGTCTGTAGAAAAAGTATAAAATTAGTCTTTGGACTGGTTTCGTACGCCATTTAGACCATCGGCGATATAATGCTGAACTCGCAAACTTCCCCAGGTTGCAGTGCTCAAACCCGGAGGTATGGCCCTCGGGGCAGATGATGTCATGACGACTAGGGTTGCCTAATATGAAATATCGAAACCCAAAGGCTCTCGCTACTTACGATTTGCCCATACTAGTCAAAAATTCGGTCGACTGTTTCCAAGGTAGCGAACGATGCGATGCTGCTATGGCGGAAGGACCGGCGAGAGAGACCGAGCCAAAAGAACGTACGCAATGGCACAGCAAAGAGCGCTACCTTTGCGGGTTACTGGTGCCTGCCGTTGTAGACAAGAGGCGATCAAACAACCAAGATGACTGTCAGTTGTTCCCAAGGAAAAGGTGCTCGGATTATCAGGGGTTATGGTTTCGTCGTCGGCCGGTCGCGGGGATGGGCGATCCAGAAATCGATGGTGGCGGTTGTTCCCGTCGAATCGTCGCGAAGTCGGTCCCACACGCGAGTCGGTTAAAGCGTCGTAAGTGCGTCGTCAACGCGAAAGTCGTAGGTGCGCGATTAGGGTCAAACGGAGTTGTTGTATCTCGAGATGGGACACTGTGGTGGGCGCTCGCGCGTGCAAGGACGAGGGGATGTGAGAGGAGACTGGGGGAGGTGGCGGTCCCCGGTAATGGCCAGACCAGGAAATACGGTTTGTGGGTGGTGTGTACTTGGGTCTGCCCAGTTTCGCCGCTGATGGTTGAAGAGGGGCTAAAATAGATGGGCTATCAGGGTGCTAGGTTTTTTTTTTTTTTCCTCTTCAGAAAGGGAAAGGAAAGCCGGTGAATTGCTGCTCCAGGTGGCAATTATTGAGAGGTTGCGGGCAAGGCGGCGATGGACGGATGAATGGGGTTCCAAATTGTACAAGGTGAAGAGTGTACTCGGGGAGGAGAGAGGATGTATCATGTCAAAAGAACCAACAAGCAGCCAACAACACGCACCCCGATGAATGAGACGCCTATAGGTAGAGGGTCCTGGAGGGACTGGTGGGTGCGACGGAGGGTCCTTCTCAAAACAGGCAGTTGGGAGGGGTCTAGACAGCCCCTTCCTTGTCGACGTCTGGTCCGGCCGGCTTGTTCCAGGTCGTTTCTTTGGGAGGCAGGATGGGGTCGCGCGCTGGAGCTGCTATAATGGACCTAACGGTCTACTTCTCAGATACTGGCTGTGCCGCAATAGAAGCCGCCCACGCTCCAGTAGCTCCGAGGTACTCAGTTGCGTGCTACCGTCCCTTTTCGAGAGTTAGATGCCCGAACAAGCCAAACAAACATGTGACCCTTTTTTATTGCTCTACCGAGCGAGCAACTGCATCCAGTGTGGATTTGTAATATCAACCGGAACAGTTTCGATCGCACGTATCGACCATTCGAGAAGCGCTGAGACTTGATTACCTACCACTATGTCAGTACATGCATGAATCCTTCAGCAGCGCCAGCCCTACAGACTCGCTCGCTCCTTCTAAAGGTCTTTCGGGGGCTCCTAGCGACCCAGAATACGGGATATCCGATTCCTCTATTCTTACTAATTCATAGATGCATACCGAACGGAGAGGTCTTTCTGCAATACTACTCTACCAGCCATTCTCCGGATAAGCCCAGATCCGTTGGCCGTCTGGAGACGCCCCCAAGCTTCTCGAATTCTCTTGGAAATTTTCATCCACCACGGAACACTCAGAAAGCCCATCTCGTTAGTTGCAACTTCCAAAAGTACCGAACGCACGCATCAAAGCACTCTTCTGCTGTAGTCCGCACCTTGAGCCGATTTTATCTTCGAGTTTCACACTCAATAATGCAGGCTGAGGGAATAGTTTCAGTTTTCTCACTGCCTAGGTAGGCAGTTTCAGTTACTCATGTGTTGACCCCGCCACTACCTAAGTTAATATGGAGGGCCCTCTAATTTCAACATGTCCCATGTCAAGGCGGCTCTCATCGCTTGCCAGGCTACCTGGGTAATTACCTAAACAACCAATGTAGGTCCATAGATCGACAAATATTTCGGCACAAGAGTAATACAATAAAAAAAAATCTGCTGGGCCTCACGGCAGAGACTGGGTTTTGGACACGGCACAACTGCCACGTGAATATTTTTAGTTTCACGGGGCTAGATGTGGTAAGATCGACAGATTAGCAGTCCAATCGGCGCCTCAATCGTACATCATCTAGACCCAATCGACCACGAGAGTCGTATGCAGACCCCAAGCTATTCTAAATTTCAGATAGGCACAGTCCTTGCTGACCATATGCGCATGTCATCATTACAATATGTCTCCAGGAAACAGAGGTCTATCAATAAGTCAGACATCGAATATGTATTGACATAAGTACTTAATTGGACTAAAAAAAGAACTGTCACTGATATGCTGCCGTGTGAAATGAAACGTGCCAAGAAATCTCCTCAAAAATCGGAATATCCAGTCATCTTTTAAGGTTTAGCTGCTGGTCATGTACCTGTATGCTTTTTTTCCCTTAAGGAATGGCAAGAATCTATGAGTTTGAATTAGATATTTAGGTTGATTATATATTCGCTGTCTTGCCGAAGAAGCATACCAAAGAGATTAAACACTTGCAATTGAACTGTGTACAGAGTTCCGGGCCATCAGTCGACAGCCTAGCTTGTTGCAGCTTAAGTGAAGGCACCCACAACTTGTGCTGATGTGTTTGCGGCGGCATCTCTACGGGAATGTCTAGTCTCCGCCTGCAGCACCACTCCGTCAAATATTCCCCGGCATATCTTTGTCAGCTTTATGAATTGCAACCACATGGAAGGCTAGCAGGCTAGGTTGGTTCGATACAACGTGCTAAGTTGGTCAGACGATATGAGCGAGGAGCTGGAACACCCTGTCTCCGATCCACTCGCAGGTTGCAGGTATGAGCTGAAGAATCAGCTGTGGGGTCCGAATTGGGTTGCGTTGATTGGCATTCAGGCTCTTTGATTCTACGTATCACGACCTCCAGTTGGAAGCATTGTAGGATCGACAGAGAGCGCGGGCAGAGAAAGGCGGCCGATTATGGGGTGCCGAGATCGATGCATCAGCATATCGGGCCTGCTTTTTCAGTCTTATGCATGGGGTGCCACTCAGCTGCTTCTGCAGATGCTGGACCACAAAGGCGGTATGTCTTCCCCGCGGGAGTTGAGTCTCAATGGCGGGCACCGACTGCCACTGAGAAGTCCAACGACAGCCGGCATGGTGAGACAGTCTGGCCGTGATGGCGCCCAGGCAGATGCAACGGACTTAGGTTCGATGGAGATAGCCAGGCCTATTCCCTAGCCTATCTGCTAACCTCCCTACTGCCTGAAGCTAGCCGGACTGCGATGGCGCCCACCAATCACTATTAAGTTGTTTGGGGATCCTGCAGGATGGCGCCTGCCGAGGTGCTATAATTAAGCAGGTCCATATATCTAATTAATTGCTAGATCCATCTCACTCGCCTGTTGACTCGTGTCGACATGGAGGTGGTGGAGACCTAAGCCGGAAGGATGAAACTTTGGCAGGTACGACGTTGGTTTGACTTGCGTCTTTCAGTAGGTGCGACTGACATCATTATTAAAGAGAGCAACGTCTCCCGATGCAATTGCCGATTCTAAGCTGCTTTGGGACGGTATTGTTCGTTACCAGCGTGCGACAGATTTAACTATATTCGGGACGGCTTCCCTCCATTCCGATCGCCCAAACGGCCCCTCTTCCTTCTTCCTCAATCACAGACGCAGCCAACGCGACGGGAGGCGACCTGTGCAGCGACTCGTCTGTTCCTGAACACGCGCTGTATCGCATTTTACGCCCTGGCTAGATTCAGAGATCTGCCGAGATACATGATAAACTGATTTCAGACTTTATGCGAGGAGAGCGAGGAGATTTAATGCCGGCGCCTAGCGCGAGAGGTGAGGGGGTTTCTCCTCCAGTTCCAGCCGGTCAGTTAGGCCGCAGCCACCAGCGACTGATGTCGAATTTCTAGACCCAAAGTAGCCTTTCCTGGGCATCCATCAACTGTCATCGAGTCCAGGCCGATGCTTAGTATTGCGCTGGGCTTGGGCAACCTGTTATTGCATTGCAGCGCCGTTTAGACTTGGCTATTCGTCTGGTCTTTAAACTATACCCACCCGCCTGCTCACCATTCCTGCATGCCGGGCCAGGCCAGCACCCGGCTATCACGCCAGCACCAGCACGAAAAGGGGGCCTAGCAGCGTTACGTCTCGGTGCCTTCCCCGGTGTTACTCGCAGCAATTTTGCTGCTCTGACCCATCGAGGTCATTAATCTGTGATTTTACTTACTTCTGCTTCAATCTTTCCGATCGTCGCCATGTCTTCGTCAGGCCCTCCACAAGGGTCAGCTGCAAACCCCCAGCACTATGATCAGCGGTATCACCAAGAACAACCCCACCAAGGTCAACCCCACCAACTTCAAGGTCAACCTCACCCAGGCCAACCAATATATGATCCCTCGGCAGTTAAACTGACCCGGGGGACTAGCTGTGTCCTTTGCCAACAACGCAAGGTCAGGTGTGACAAGAACAAGCCGTGCGCCAACTGTGTCAAGGCCAACGTTGAGTGCCGGGTGGTTCCTCCCCAACCACCAAGGCGGCGAAAGAAAAGGCTCCAGGAACGAGACCTCATCGACCGTCTAAAAAAGTACGAGTCGCTTCTCAGTGAGAATGGTGTCAAGTTTGAACCAATCGGCTCAGAGCTCCGCTCCGATTCAGCCCCCATGGATGAAGTGGAGGAACTGGAGAATGACTTTGAGACTCTAAAAGCGACCCCGGAAACAAGCATGTCGCCATCGGCGGGCTCAACTAGCGAAAAGTAGGTTGATCTATCTGGGTTTTCCCATGCCAGACGATGACGCTAACCCGCTATCTCTGCAGGCCATCCAGCTCGATATTTGCATTGCACAGGGAGGTTGGTCTTCGAGGTTCCTTGGCCATTGAAACCTGTTATATCTTGCTAACGCTGCAGCTCTTTAGTTTAGGGCTAGTGAGAACTTGAT